GTAAGTGTAGTTCTGGAGGGCAGGTCTGAATACTTCCTGGAGAGCAGATCTGATCTTAATGAAGTCCCTCAATGTTTGTTTATCTGAGAAGGTTTTTATTTCTCCTTTATATAAGAAACTTGGTTTTTCAGGTTATAAAATTCTAGTCTGGGCATTATTCTGTTTGAGAAGACTGAGAATGGGGCCCTATTTCCTTCTGGCTTGTAAGATCTCAGTTGAGAATTCTTCAGTTAGTCTGATGGGTTTTCCATTGTAGGGTACCTGCTGCTTTCACATTATAGCTCTTTGGAGGGCCTCTATAATGTTTATTTTGGCCAGTCTGATGACTATGTGTCGTGGTGTCTTCCTATTTGCAATGACTCCCAGGAGTACTTTGAGCTTCTTTGACTTGAATATCTAGATTTCTAGCAAGGCCAGGGAAATTTTCCTCCATTATATCCTCAAATAGTTTATCGAACCCTTGTGTATGTTATTCTTCACCCTCAGGGATGCTTATGGCTCTTATGGTATGCCTCTTCACATAATCCCACATTTTTTGTAGGCTTTTCTCTTTTCTCTTATTTCTCTGTTCTATCTTTGTGACTGATTTCTTTAATTGAAAGGTATTCTCTTCGATCCCTGAGATTCTTTCTTCTGTTTGATCAACCCTTTCACTGTGTTTTGTAATCCCTTGAATAAATTCTTCATTTCCAGAATTCTGTTTGATTTTTCTTTAATATTTCAATGTTTTAGTGAATTTTTCTGGCATGTAATGGATTTTTTTGTGGTTTCTTTGTGTTGAGGATCCATTTTCTCTTGCATATCATTGAGTTTTCTTACAATCCATATTTAAAATTTTTCTTTTGTCATTTCAGTATTCTGGATTTGGTTGGTATTCATTGCTAGAGAGCTGGTTTTCCCATTTGGGACTGTTCTTCTTGTTTGATTCTTCACAATTCCAGAGTTCTTTCACTGATTCCTTCCAATATGGAGTAGCTGTTGTTTCTTTCGTTTGAATTTTTTCTTAGATAACGACACTCCCAGTTTAGTTTCTGAGCCAGTAGGTGGTGCTTGTGTGTGAGAATTGACCACATCCTGTATGATGAGTAGGTAAATGCAGTACAAGAACATGCAAATTGATCTCCCTGTCAGCAGGTGATGCTTGCCAGGAGGAGCAAGCTGCAATGTTTTTGGGTCCTCTAACCAGCTCTCATTCCTCTAGAGAGACACTCTAGTGCCTAAGAGGGTAGGTGGGGCCCTGGAACTTCCAGGTATGTCCTTATTCTCCACCTCAGCAGGAGTATGTGGGGGAGAGAGGCTGGGAAGGGTTGGGTTGGGTGAGCCTTCCCTCAAGCTTCACAAATGCTTTTAGTAGTGGTCAAAGTTCTGTTCCCTGCCTCTGGGCAAAGCTGCCAGGGAGGGGTTAAAATGGCTCCACTCAACCAGAAAGTATGGGTGTGGAGATGGGGCTGTCTGTGACCCACTGGCAATCTGGAGTAGGCCTCACTTCTTTCCACCACCCCCTATTCCATGGTTTCTTCCAGGCCTCTCCCAGCTGGCAGGACCTCAAGCCAGTGGAGCTCCCCCTGTCTGTGATACAAGCCAGGAAGTTCCCTGCACAGGATCATGGCCTGAGCTGGGAGCACAGCCCTCTCCTGGGAGGAGGGTTGCCCCTCAAGAATTCTGCAGCTAGGACCCATTCTGATATGCTGTGAAGACAGATAAATGGCCAAAAGCATATGACAAAAAGCTTGACATCACTAATCATCAGGGAAATACCATCAAAATCACAATGAGCAACATATATAACCTAAACATCTGTACCCCCATAGTATGCTGAAATAAAAAATAAAATAAAATAAAATAAAAATCACAATGAGGTATCACCTTATTCCAGTTATAATGGCTATTTAAAAAACAGAAACAAATCAAAATAGGAAATGCTAACAAGAATGTGAGAACGAGAGTCTTTTATATATTATTGGTAGAAATGTAAATTATATAGTGTATTATTACTTTAGCCATTATGGAAAACGTAGTCTTTCCTCCAAAAATTAAAAATAGAACTATCATATGATCAAGATATTCTGCTACTGTGTATATACTCAAAGGAACTGAAATCAGTATGTCAAAGAGATATTTGCCTTTCTTTGTTTATTGAAGCACTTTCACAATAGCCAAGAAATGGAATCTACCTAAATGTCCACAAGCAGAAAAATGGATAAAGAGAGTGTGGTATATACACACATTGGAACTCTGCCTACTAAAAAAAAAAGAAAAAACAACTCTTTGTCATTAGCAGCAACATGATGAACCAGGAGGACATATGCTGAAGTTGAATAAGCCCAGCATAGAAAAACAAATCCTACATGATCTCACTTACATGCGGAACCTAAAAAATTTTATGTCATGGAAATAGAGAGTAGAATAGTGGTTACCAGAAGCTGGGGAAGGTATGAGGGAGGAGGTATGGGAAAAAGTTTGGTCAATGGTTGCAAAATTACAGTTAGAGAAGAAGAATAAGTTCTGCTGTTATGTGACATAGTAGAATAACTATAGGTAATAATTATATAGTGTATATTTCAAGGTAAATATAAAAAAGAATATTTAATGTTATAACTACAAAGAAATTATAAATATTTGAGGTAATGTATATGCTAACTACCCTATCATCTTACACAGTGTATACATGCATTGAACCATCACACTGTACCTTATAAACATGTAGTATCATTATATTTCATTTATGAACAAAATTAAAAATAATTATTCCTTGAAAGGAAACCACAAAATGTTGTCTGGATTTGACTTTTGAAATTATTAGCACAAAACTTTCTATCTAATAAATCGTTAATGTGTGGATCTACCAACCTTTTAGATATGACTTCTATAGTATTTGTGTATGGGTAAAGGTTAGAGTGTGAGGATAAAAAGTAGTTTGACATAGAAGTTTAAGTAAAGAGCCATGGAAATTGTCACCTCTGTGTCTCTATCTATAATTAGATAAAAGTTCATTATGCTATGGCTTAATAGAGCATGATTTTCAGCTATTAATATGACTTTTAATAAAATTAAAAGTAAGAAAATGGATATTCATAAACCAGAAATGAAATGTCATTCGTCAATACATATCTCATTATAAAAAGAAATCAGGAACTCTCCTGCTAATGCCATTGACCCTGCAACCTTTCTAAATTAATTTTGCTCATATTTCTGCAATACAAGAAATGAGGATATTCTCTTCACCCCCTAGTGATAATTAAATACAGTATTCTTACTATAGTTATTGTAGTGAATTTTTACAATTTTATGTTGTTTGGTATCAATTTTATATATAAGTTAGACTTTCTTATACCAGAAGCAGGGCTTAGTCAACATTGACAACTCTTTCCTGTTCCTCAACGTGGTCAGTCTAGATATCTGCCTTGTAAGTCTCCTGGTGACCATGTTCCTATGAGACAAATAGATGCAACCCACTTGGCTTGCACCACTGAGTCCCCACACCCCAGACAGACTGTGTAGATATGTCACAGTGATCACTTTTTAGTCACAGAGTGACTCCATGTGACTTATACCTGTGTGTAACGAAGCTACCTATTGTAATTCTCCATGGACACCCACCTACGTAACATCCTGGACCCCAGTAAAGACTTTGGCTGACAGATTCCTCACTCTCTTTCTTGGTACCCCCTCATTGGTTGAACGTGAATTCCCCAGGGAACCCCCTCCTTCCCATTAACCCTAGGAGGCATGGAGAACTCTTTACTCCAGGTGCTGTAAGTAATACATTGTATCTCTTATTTCATGTATTTTGTTGAGTTTTCTCCTCTATGTCTTAATTGACCAACACACAAAAACCTAACATCTGTTCTGGTCAGGTTTTCCTATAGAGTATTTATCTTGGTAGAAATAAAATAGACATGGGTCAGAAAAGAGCCACAAGGGTGTCTGCCAGTATAGATAAGTTTACTGTGAGAGAGACACCTGTTAACAGGTTGGACACTTAGCCACCAGGATGAAAAAATATCCCCTGGAAGGCACGCTGTAAACATCACAACCAGATATGCTGGATTCCTGTCAGGGCAGGATTAGGGTTTTATGGTCACTTTTGGGACAGAAATCTCAAGACCAAATTATTAAAAAAAAATACAATATTTATCTATTATTCACTTTTGCTTTTCAATACTGTTTCTACCAACATCACTGGTACTACACATTTTTTTCTCTGAAGACTTAGGAATACAATATGCAATTTTCTTCTGTACTAGAAAAGAAACCTGCCTTCAGGCTGGAGAAAATTAATTGAAACTTTGATTTCTCATTTCCATGAGCTCTACTTTATGCTGATGACTCAGTATTTCTATTGCTGTCTGCTGAGGTTGAGATCTTGTTTTGCTCAAGGTATTTCTCTAAAATTTCACCTGAAACTCCCACTGGCTCTTCTAAGTGGATAGTCACAAAACAGAACTCACTGTATAATCACAAACACATTTTACCTTAAGTGTTTCCCATTTCAATAGAAAACATAACTGTCATTAAACACTCAAAGTGAAAATCTAGGCGTCATCATTAATGCCTTTTCTTCCTTCAACACTTCTTCTCACTCATTGAACCCTGTGAAATACACCCCAACTGTCTCATGAAAGTATGCTTGTCTGTCTACCATTATGATAAATGTTTATTCATAATCCCAATATAATTGCAAGGAAAACTAGAGCAGTCTCCTTAATAATCTCCATGGTTCTAATTTCCTGTTACTCTAATTCACTATTCACAGTATAGTAACATCGATACTTTAAGACACATTTCTTTCATGTCACTATTCTGCCTAATTTTTCAATATAATGCTTAAAAAATCTATATAGTACCCACAAGGATCCCTAAGACATGGAAAATTAATATGGAGTGACAAACTGAAGATGTTCAGCTCATGTTTCTGAAATTAAGGCAACTGTTTCTTTCAAGGAAACACAGGTATCATATCACAAAGTAGAGAAAATCCCTCAGCATAATAGTCTCACCTTGGGTAAAGGTTTGGCTGGTTTGCAATGCAATCCTCCAACAAACTCAAAATTAGGTAAGTGTGGTTGAGGGTAGTCAAAATCCCAATATGTTCTTATTAGCCACATTTCAGCTTTCCCCAGAATCTCACATGATGTCGTGGATCTTCCTAAAAGAAATGAATAACAATTGGGTGGAAGGAATCAACATATCATTCTTTTGTCCTTTTTTGAAACAGGGTCTTGCTCTGTTGCCTGGGCTACAGTGCGGTGGTATCATTGTAGTTCACTGCAACCTCAAATTCCTGGGCTCAAATGATCCTCCTGCCTGAGCCTCCTGAGTGGCCAGGACTACAGGAACATGCCATGGCTAAGGAACACATGGCTAAGAAATTAGTGTATAATTTGAATGAAAAAATTGTTCTACTAATTTTCTAATAAGCTATCAAGGGAAAAATAAATGCATGTCCTCTAGAATAATATAACTTTTAGAAGTCAAATAGAAAGATGAATTGGTGAAATAATAAAGAATAAAAGAATGTAAGAAGAAAAAGAGAAATACAAAGAGGGCAAGGAAGAAAGGAGGAAGAAAGAAAAAATAAGTAAAGACAATTATATGTCAGTGTATTTTCACAATATAAAAAATCAATTAACCACAACTCCAAACTTTAAATAAATTTATTATTCATGTTTTTCACTCCACATAAATTCCAGATGATAGATTAGCCCCATAACATCTGCAGCATATCACATCTCTATGGTTTCTAATCTCTAGTCAGGGATATATCATTGAAGGATCTCACCAAGATCAGTCCACCTTAACCCTGTGTACTATATTTTGTCACTTTAATTGAAGGATCACTATTTTATTAGTAAGAACTTCCTGACTAATTTTTACCCATGATGAGCCCTTCTCTGGGTTGTGAGGTACATATGGCATATTAAACTTTGATAGGTTACCTATTTAAATTTACATATTTTCAATTCATCTCTGAGGATTGACTTGAGCCCAGGATCCTTGTATTATTTACCTATATCTATAGAACCTAGCAGGTTGTCTCTAGCTAGGCAGTGCTTAATGAATACTTAATTAATAAGAAAAAAATCAATGCATATAAATTTAAATTATGTCTAAACCTGAGGATATTTGATGTGGGTTCCTATGAACATTAATTCCATAAAACAGTGTTATCTTTTAAAATTCAGTGGATTAAATTGGATATTTTTGTGTCACATAATTTTTTGTTTTTTCTTTATGTTTCTATGTATTTTTCAAATATAGTCGGAGAAGAAACCTGCCTTGCATTGACCAGCTCAGATCACAGCTGAATGTATAAAAATTGCAAAGTAAAAACACTTTTTTAGCAGAAAAGACAAACAATTAAAAGTAAGTCAAATTAAAAATAAGTCAAATAAGTGTACATCAGTGAAATAGAAGTTCTACTATTTTTACTCCATAAAACACAAAATATTTTCAAATCTATCTTTCTAATTTTTGCATAGCAATCATCCAAGAAGGAAAAGCATCTTAGGAAATGTTTCAATATAACCAGCCCTGATGAAATGGTCCACAGAGGACTTTTTGAAGATTCTTCTGAAGTATTTGAGAGCAATAATAATGGTGGGCATCTTTTCCTATAGAAATTGTATAAAATCAAGAATAATAATCTGTGCCTCCTACAAATTTGTGTTACAGATTGGGACTATTTAAAGAAAGTATCAAATGTGTTGAGGGTTAGGGTCGAGACATGAGAACCCGAGGAGCGGGAAAGGACTTTGCCAAAGAGCAACCTATGGACATGTCAGTTCACTGAGCAAAAGCTGCTCGACATTGAGGGGGACATTCCACCAATCAGGGATGTCTGCAAATGGATCCCACCTTGAAGCCTGAGGGCCACAGCCTGGATGTCTGAAAATGGACCTGGGCTTCTAATCCAAAGGTGGTTAGAATGATCAAAGGCTGCCAGCCCAGTAGATATGAGAAGTTTGCTATTCTAAGCTTGAGGCAATGCGTCGCTCCATAAATTAATATTACTATATAAGAGATAGAAATGGTCTCAGGAGTTTTGCAGGGCTTTGCCCTGAAGGAATATGTGAACATGTTGGTTTGAATATCAAAAGCTACTTCACCTCAGGAGGGCATCTCAAAGGTCAATGGCAGCTGCTTTCCAAGATGAGGCTGCAATCTCAAAACTGTGGTTCTTGCCTTCTTTGAATGACAAAGCAGGTCTGCAAGGAGCCACAGGATGAGAGCTGATCAAAGAGTGCCCACCCGAGAGACAGACACCTGTGACTAAAAACAATAAGCCCAAGGGACAGGTCCTGCTTGACTTCTGATCACCTGTCTTCATTTGCAATAACTAGATAAAGAAATATGGAGCCACTATATCTCTGTTTAATCCTTCTGTTAAGTGATAGCTTTATCTTAGAACTTAGAAGTTTGTCCTTGAAAGATTTTGTAACCATTTGTTCACATA